TAGTTCGGCAGGAAGCGACAAGATGTGTGCTCTTGAAGAGTCTTTGGCCCTGCCTTGCGCTGTACTGCTACCACATTCACCCGGCGAGAACATGGCACCCTCACCGTCTTTGTGAATGGAAGAGACGGTTGATAAATCCATAAACTTCAGAAAGAATTATGAAAGATCTTCGGGGGAGCTGAATGTTATAAATATTATGAGCCAGCAAAAGCCCAAATATTGTTGATCGTCCGCAGAGTAGGGAGGCATTCCTGGCAGCTAAAACCGGAAACTTTACCTCAGATATCTATCTAACATGGACTCAACTTGACGCAAATAATTAACCCCAATCTTGAAGGTAAACAAATGGTTTCCTTTCCTTTTTCATCTAGCTCATGGCTCTTCAATCGACAGCTGGCGATAGCGGTACGTAAGATGAGGTCTTTTTAAAAAAAGTAAAATATGTTGAAGCAAAAAATGTATCGATCAATGGCTGATCACTACTTTGATGTTAAGTCGTAGTGCTGAAAGTTAACTTACACAGCATCACAAATATACGGGTGATGTAACAATCTATTTCATGTACGGCTATGAGAGAATATTTTTCCTCGAAATGCTCAGGGTGTGCTCAGGGTGTGCTCGGGGTGTGCTCGGGGTGTGCTCGGGGTGTGCTGAGGGTGTGCTGAGGGTGTGCTGAGGGTGTGCTGAGGGTGTGCTGAGGGTGTGCTGAGGGTGTGCTGAGGGTGTGCTGAGGGTGTGCTGAGGGTGTGTCTGGGGTGTGCTCATGGTATGAATTGTCTTAAGGCGTGAAGTTTTTCGTGCGCAATGTTGTTGCTAAAATCCCCGAGAACACCGGGAGCCATGAAGGGTGTGAAGCTTTGAGCCACGCCGTTCTGGTCGACAATTATAACATAACTAGTCAATGCGGAGCCTCGTAATGGCAATCAATACCGATGTTCATATGACATTCAGTTGATGCTGCTACAATTTGAATCAAATTTGGAACCCTGCATTAGGTTTTTCTAACACAAAATAGGTTTGACTCATCTGTGTTCTTTACACGGCTTGCGGTGGAAAGTTACGCAACTAATAACTCTGGACCTGGTATTCAAAAAGACACTGCTATGAAATATTTGCTCTCTCTTCAGACTCCGAAATGTAGTCCAACAATTACCTTCTCTCAACGTGTCAAGTACCTCCAAGAAAGTACACCGTACCTTCGAAGTGAACATATACAATCGATTCCAAAGAGCACATGCCGAATGGGAGCGGGAAGCCAGCACAGTGGAGATCAACCACCAATTTGAGAGTCATAAAGGTAGTTCTCAGGATTGCAAGAAGTGTGAAGTACCGGATGAACCGCTGAGAAAAGACTACTTTCCTGAAGAGCCTCGCAGTGGCCTATGGAGTGAAGTTCTGGCCTCCGTGATTGGCGTGGGAAACTTGAATGGAGTAGGTGGTGATTCAAATGCTCGCCGTCTCAAGAAGATTCGGCGCAGCTAGTGCTATAATTTGCCTGTCATATTATTGCTTTGATTTTATTACTACAAGTCGTTATTAAATATCTTGGCTACGAGTGGTCATTGTGGACTTTTCTCAAAATCAAGAAGTATGCGATCAAATATCAGTATGCTGTTCACGCGTGGCCTCGCTTTGCAAGACATATTTAACCAAGAAACGTCTAATATTTATGGGAGGGGCAGGCCCAAAGCTGGTAGGGGTAAGCAGGAGACAATTCCATGCACTCTTTGCGCGTGGTTCAGGAGTCCTGATTTGGACAACAGCTTTTCCCCGCAAATGTTGCACTCACAATGCATGTCATTTGGGAACGGCTTGATATGCTGGTTGACGAAGTGTCGGCTGAGGGACCCAGAGTTCTTGTACGTTTGCAGCCGTTTGCTTTCTGGCAGTTTAGCCTTACCAAGACATATAAAGCATATCGTTGGTCTCTCTTCTCGAGATTTGACGCAAACAGAAGCGATGGCTTGAGAAAACCTATCGTCACTCTCATCTGAAGGGGTAGACTTTTGTCTCTTAGGCAGGGGAGAAGCAGGTGGCGTATCAACAGCATCGACAGAGCGTTTTTGCGACGCACCAGGCCGCGAGGGAGCACCCTCTTCCGCATCACAGACTGCAATCACTGCATTGATTGCAGCGATGCGGCGTTCGTATTCTTTCGTGACCGTTGTACCCGGCATAGTCAGGATACTGTCAATGAGCGTCATATGCTGCGGTGTCATGTAGCCAGTTCGCTGCAATGCACCCATGACTTCTTCGTCGACAACCTTTCCAGAAAGTTGCCGCTCGCTGTCGATTACTGGCTGCTCATTCTTGTACCGCTCCAGGTTCTCGCGAATCAAGCGGTGCTTTTGCCGCCTCTTCTCGTTTCGTAGTTGCTTCACTGCGCGGTCATACTGCTCGTCTGCATGATCGAATTTTTGACGTAACTTTTTCAAGCTTTTCTCCTGAGCCTTCCTCCGCTTGCGGGCGGTTTTGGAAAGAGTCGCGCTCTGCGGATCATCACCGAACTCTCCTTGAAATGCGGCCTCTGCATCTTCATAGGTGCGCATCTTAACGTCACGAATACGCTTTCTCGCCTGTTTCGTGTCTTCCAGGGCACGCACGCGGGGGATATCGTTGATACAGCTTGAATCCTCAAGCCGGTAGGGCCTGCGAGGGTCGATGGACCGACTCATCGAGCAGGCAAACCGCATGAGTTGTTTCTCAGCGGGCAAGCCCCGGACAATGGCTTGCGCATCTACGTGGATGCCCACACTGTAGTGCCGCACAAAAGTATCAATGCTTGCGTGCTGCAGCATGACGTTCTGCAGTTCATTCGATACATCCGCTGATTGAGAGGACGGCATTAGCCCAAAATTCTCTTAATGCACTCTTAATGCAGGGTCACTCACGACTATCGTTGAACGCTTTTGCTGCGCCGTATCGGAGGCAATATGGCTTCGCGACTTCCGCAAAGCCAGTAATCTCACCACCTCTTTTCATTCTGTAGCCCAGCCATCCCCGGGTAAGTGGCTTTTCTGGTGCGAATCGAATCCCATCCGCTTCCCGCAAAGCTTGGCAAAACACATGCTGATCCATGATCTCGTCTTTCAGCTTTAATTCCTGTTCACCGAGACCTTGTAGGACCCGAAGACGGTACAATTTCTCAGGGCAGTCCAGCACAGGGCTATCGGTGGACAGACTTTTGAATGCGCCAATTCTAAACAGAATACCCAGCAGAAAGACATGAGGACTGAGGACCAACGTGGGATCAAAGATAATTTCCGGAATTGGAAACGCCTCTCTGGTTGAAAAATGATAAGCAAACGGAAGCAGAGACGTATGTAACTGAACGGGGTAAGGCAAGCGCAAGGAATGGTTTAGCGAGTAGATGTTACTTACGACTGCTTTTCACCAAGAAACCCTTTTGTGAATTCCGGTCTGAGGTAGATAAAAAGCCGAGGACGTCCTCCGTTTGGATCCCGAATCAATGTCAACTTAAGATCCCGAAAGCGGAGTTTCAGTAGCGCCCCCGGACGATTACCGGTGATAGCGGCCAGCTGACAGAAAAGGAGGAGCTGTATCCGATACCAACCACAAGGGAAAGTCATCTCTGTCGTAGACAGGATCACTCGGGCAAATTCAGCTACATCTGTGCCACTTGAAAACACCGCTTGCCGGCCAGAGGGATGGATCTTGGTCGACCTGGCAGTTGAGAGGGAGGGAATTCCTCTCGTGAAGGGTTGCTTTTCTTCCGTCTCGTCATCACTTGATGATCTGAGTCTGGTCATTATTGACGAGGACTCGAGCGATCCCGAGACACAAAGATGGCTAAGATTCTTTCGGGTTCACGCCAATTATCTCCGGCAAAACGCAGTGGCAAAGGAGAGCGGACGTGCTTCAGCGCGTGTGCTTGAATGGTATCAAATGCGCTTGGATAAGTTGAGCATGGTGCTGATGCAAAATCGCGCTTGACTTGGGCTTGGTTTCGAGGCTCCAATTCTTCATTGTATCATGGGGGTTGGTGATCTCCTTGACTGGATGTACCTGAGAACTATGTGTATTAGTTTATTACCGATAGGTGACAACGGAACTGGAGCATCAACTGTGCGAAAAAGCCCCAGAATGGTACTGGTGCAAATAATAGAGAAACCGTGTGCGGAGAAACCAGATAAATAATCTATGAACCATGGTCAATATTAAGCGAAGGGACAAGGACCTGAGCTATGTGAGAAATACGGTGTCTTTTTTTTTCCTTCGTTGCCTTTATTCCCGCTGTGATGCGCAATTCCCAGAATTGGGTTCTGTCCCGAGAGCCATAAAGTTAGCCGTCTGAAGCGATTGATCATTTCGTTTTACGTGAGTAATTTGCCTTATCCGTCGTAGACAGAGCCCCGTCCCTAGAGTCTGACATTGTGGCTGTATCAATTTTAGTGCTTTTGCTGATATCCATTTTAAGTGGCTGACAAAATAGGCGGTTAGCCGGTAATAAGTCGAATATACGTCGAATGAACAGGTTCTGGATGGAGGACGAATTTAGGAGCATCGACTTTATATGCCTGCCAGCCCCCGAAAACCTAGCACGAGGCAATGGATCACGTAGCCGGTTGAGAATTTTTCATTCCCAACAATCTAGCTGGGGCCAGACTTTCTCATAGACCTTTTGTATTTTTGATATATAGAAAAAAGTAATTAAATTCAACCAATCCTGTTTAGGACGACGAGGTTAAGACCTCGCTATATGCTCCCGACAGTCAAGCACACCCGATAGCCTAGAACAGCCGAATCCAATTACGGTCAGCCGCCAGGTTCAGCCGTGCTGGTATTAGCCAACTGCAGGGGCCTTCGTTCCCGTCACATTGGTCTTCATACACAGCTTCGACTGAGTCTCCGGCCCTCTTAGTTCAAATATCTTTCTTTTCTTCATCTTTGTCCATTTCCCTTAGGCATACACATACAGGAAGTGCTTTCCAGCATTACGTGAACTTGTCATCCACTATATTCCGCTCAATTACCACAGTAGACCAAATTTCCGGAACAAACTTCTCTTTCCGTGTATTCTGAGGGTTCGGCGACGCATCATAGAACAGCATTCACTCCGGAAAATCCTAGAGTCTCTGCAAACATTCTCCCCAATTCTCCTTTTTATTGTTTTTATCGGATTTAAGATAGTTACCTTCACAGCAGCAGCGAACGGGCTGAAGTACGGTACTGATAGTCGCCAACTCCCACAATGCGCTAAAGGCACAAGTGCCGCGTACAAGAAAAGGAGCTTCTCACCTATTACAAAACGAGTCTTCAACGGGCTATCCGCCATATTGCTCGCAACATATTTCGGAGAAGCGGCGATTTGTGTTACTCATGTGGTGATCGCCCGTTCTGAGCAGCGGTGGTGCGGGCAATCTGTCGTGGTACGCAGGTGCAGCCTTCGATGAAAATTGCGGTCATTGAGCTAACATCACAGATCTATATTACCGGGTCTATGTTTTTCTATATAGTCCTTCTGATATCCTTCAAACGGACCACCTCCCACCCGACAGCTACTCAATTGATATGTTGGTCTGTCGCCATCCCTATCGAAGTGGCCATTCTATGCACTTCCTTGATCTTGTACTGCTCACTCCATCGTGAACGAGCAATAGGGGATTCTTTAGGGCCTTTGGGAGGCCTAGTTCTGAAAGGGTTAAGCCCATGGGAAATTATGGAAGTTGTCGCAAACAGTGTCCGCATCGTGACTCTTGTCTCTCAAGTCCTGATTTACACCAGCAAGTCGGGTCTTCTTGCAAGCAAAAGTGAGAGTTTACATGACCAATTCAATGAAGCTACAGAGACTACTAGGCTGTTGGATTCTTCCGGGGGCAACCATATGAACAGCCAGATTCCTGAGCCAGTACACGATGGCTCACAGGATCCCAGCATCCACCGCACAACATTTCCCTTTGGAAACAAGTGGAAGTATCTTATGGGCTATTCGATTTTCCTCCCTTATATGTGGCCATCAAAGTCGCATGGACTCAAGCTCGTGAGGCTGGCTTGTCTCTTCTTGCTTGTAGTTCAGCGAATAAACAATGTGATGACGCCTATTCTGGTTGGGGTGATCATAACAGCCCTAGCAAACCAACAAGAAGCACATGCGTTCTATGTTGTGTGGCCACAGATTACACTTTATGTTTTCTCTAGGTGGTTGCAGACAGGCTTAAGCTCTCTACGATCCGCACTTTGGATACCAGTGAGCCAATATTCTCGCATGGAGCTGTCAACAGCTGCCTTTGAGCATGTCCACAACCTCGGGCTGGACTTTCATCGAAATAAAAAAACGGGAGAAGTGTTATCGGCATTGAACAAAGGCAAATCGGTCACTGGGCTTCTAGAACAGGTTGTCTTTGAGTTCATTCCCACTCTATTAGACTTATTTATCGCGATAGGCTACTTTCTGATTGCTTTTGATGCCTACTACGCTCTGGTGGTTGGAATATCATCTTTCGGCTATATTTATGTCACTATTCGTATGGGCCTCTGGAGAGCACAAACCAGGAGAGAAATGGTCAATGCATCACGATATGAGGATGCTGTTAAGTGAGTTGGCACAAGACGCAAAAGAACCTCATGTCAAATACACTAACGGGGTTAGAAATGAATCGGTGGTTGCATACGAAACAGTGAAGCTTTTCAATGCAGAGCAACATGAGTTTCATCGATACCGCACTGCTGTTAGAGATTATCAGAAAACTGAGTACTATTCGTCTCTGCGCGGCACAGTGCTTAATACTGTCCAAAACACTGTCCTGATGACCGGGTTACTCTGCACGTGCTTTATTGCTGCATACCAGGTGTCCACTGTTCAGCAACCCGTGGGTTTGTTCGTGACCCTGTTGATGTATATGGCACAGCCCCAGGGCCCACTGGGATATTTAGGTTCCTTCTACGCCTCCATCCAATCGTCTTTGATTAATGCTGAGCGTATATTGGAACTCTTCCGAGAACAGTCAACAGTCGTGGATAGCAAGCTTGCTACGCCGTTAGTTGCCTGCAAAGGAGAGATCCGGTTTCAGAATGTCCAATTTTTCTACGATGACAGAAAGGTTCTCTTTAATGGACTTACATTCACTTGCAAGCCAGGGACCACTACAGCCCTAGTTGGAGAGTCTGGAGTGGGTAAATCGACCATCTTCCAGATCTTGTATCGGTTCTACAACCCCGCAGATGGCAGTGTTCATGTTGACGGATATGATGTGCGGGACCTCACTGGGGATTCTATTCGCAAGCACGTTAGTATAGTGCCACAACATCTAGCACTCTTCAACGAGTCCCTGATGTACAACCTGAAGTACGCGAACCAGAATGCCACCGATGAGGAGGTCCATAACGCTTGCCGCGCTGCTGGTATTCACGACAAGATAATGGCATTCCCCGATGGCTACGATTCCAAAGTGGGAGACCTCGGCCTACGGCTTAGTGGTGGCGAGAAGCAACGCGTGGCTATTGCTCGCACAATCCTCAAAAACACCCGTATCATCCTTTTGGATGAAGCAACATCTGCCCTTGATGCTGGTTCCGAAACCTTTATTCAGAGGTCCCTGAAGGCATTCTCCTATGACCGCACCATACTAGTGATTGCCCATCGGCTTAGCACAATAACAGCAGCAGACTGTATCCTAGTCCTGCACGAGGGCCGAGTGGTCGAAAGAGGAACACACGCTGAGCTTCTAGAACTAAATGGTCGGTATGCAGAAATGTGGCGAAACCACACCCGGGAGTAAGCCGAACCCCGCAGGCAGGAGGGTGATATCTGTTAGGATGATTTTTTGGGTTGCTTTAGTAAATCCCATATCGCATCCATCACGGATAAAGTTGACGTAGGCTTTTCTTGGCAATGTTGAATGGAGTCCTTCTCAAGATTTTCATTCGTGGTGCGGCTGGGTCATCTATCCTGAGCAAAAGCCGTCTAAATTGGGTAAAATTAGATCATGACTATAGATCTTAATAAGTCTATGCCCAGACGTCTCTCTCTGTCTTGGGATCTCTTTGTAAGTATCCTTGGACTATTCCCTAGTGACTCAGCAGCTCACACCTCTTTGAAGACTGCAAGGAAGAATCAGTTTAGATGTAGCTGCTAGCAGTGTATGATGAAGATCTTTAGAAGTGATATGCTTTGAGAGAATGGCTGGTGTTTTCTTGTTACATCGTGCTTTTGAGGATCGTGCTCCAGTTACTTAGACTGCACCAGGCTTCTTCACGAATATCGATCTGAGAATAACCTCGTTGCATCTGACCGTAGTCGTTTCTTGTCCTTCCTTTACTTTCCAAAATGTTTTCTCTCCTGATGTTCCCGTCATGCGGATACAAAGATTTTGGTGGGTACGTGGCGATCATTGCAAGATCGCGGGTCTCGCAGCGAAGTCGTCAGACTTGAGAGATCGGCAAAATCCTCGTTAGGAGAAACCTTGCCAGGCAGGCATGTCAGCGCAGACGCGGTATAGGAATAATCTTTTTAATTTCTTTTTGAAGAGCCTGCACCGTTTAGCATAGTCCGGAACGAGCATTAGAAGCGTTCACTTACGTCAAAATGAAAGACCACATCTTGGTTCGACTCATTTAATTCAATCTGCACGACGTCGCAGGCATGAGCAAGCTCTCCATACCAGGTAAGGCTCCACCCGTCGCTATTTTTGAATTTAAGCGCTGTTATCTGTCCCGTCGACGTTTGAGCTATGTACAACCCTCACAGCGGTTCAACTGGAAGGTGAATCACACGCGTAAAAGGATACCCGAGCGGACAGGATCCAACCGAAAATCCATCACACACAAATCCCGTCAAGCGATAGAGCCGAGATACATTACAGGGGTAAAAGAAAAATGAAAACCGTCGGCACTTGTCGATAGACATACGATACCTGAGATATTGTCCTCGGCCCTTAAATTGAGGATCCAACCACACGGGGAATTTCTGTCCCACCAGAACTGGAGATCAAAGTCCTGGAGCCATCAGCAGTGGCCAATGAAGACAGACCATCACTTTTCACCCATCTTGGAATTATTGAGCCGTCAATCGCATATGTGCGCGCTTCGATATTCAGAATCTACAGTTCAGTTCCCTGTCGAGTGAGCAGGGAATATTCAAAAGCTCATTTGTGCTATTTGTATCTAACTCAACCGACGGACGAAACAGAGGCGAAATTCAAGAGCATAGCTATCCACAGCGAGGACGGTCATGTAGGGTACCCGCATCGGGAAGTCTTCTACCTACGCACCGGTCACCCTTATGGGCCATAGGCACTTCTTCTTCCAATGGACAGTGCACCTGGCTTTCAAAACACTCCTGCTCCATCCAACATATCTCGAAAACCCTCCTCTCGCTCCCAACTTACAGCATCCGTCTTGGAGAGAGTGGCTTCGGAAATTTGTTCTTACGCATGAAAGACTAAGCTTCCTTTCCCGTGAAGGGAGCACAATGTCAGAGGCTTGTAAATCGCGGAGCACCGTCCAGAGAAGATTCTTGGTCTTTTGAAGTATCTCTGGAAATACGAGGGCAAGAAGATCGGCGAGAACGATGATCTCGTGAAAAACATCAAGGATACAGACGCCAGCAACTTTTGTATGGCAAACATTCCAGCAACTGATCTTGACCAAACCTTTCTTCCTCTACCGAGTCTCCAGCGAATATGTGAACGCTTCATGGATGAATATGAACTATTTCCCTTCTTGAAGATTGATGAAATAGCCGCCTCGGAAGAACTTAGCTCCCAATGGATATTTCTCCACACTGCCTTTTTCCGTTGGAAAGGATGATGACTCGGATTTTCTTGTTGAGATATTGTGGCGGATTCGCGATTCTGACTCCAACGACCTTGATAGATTTCCGCTCAGCAACCCACGACGTATCTTGGACCTATACGTCTCACTTGACTCAAAGTCAAAGTGTCTCGGTGCCGCAGATCAAAAGGCCGAAAGAAGCCACATCAGGTTCAAGATCCAAGCTTATATAGCTAGAAACAATTTACTGACAACCCACAGGAACTTCATTGAGAGGAACGGTCTACTGTTTGTTCCACACCTTGGTGAGCCTGAAGCTTATGCTCCTGAGTGGTTTGACCTAGGATCGTGCCGATGGGATGGTCCGCCAAACATGCGGTCAAGGTGCTGCCTGAAAACTAGCTATTCCCAACTAGTTGACGAAGATCAACTGGGCCACCTTTCGCGTTTCATGCGACGAACATTGTCAATACCAAGCGTCTCCTGGAAGGACTTGGTAATCGAGCTCGAGGTAATGAGAGATGAGGGTTGTGAAGACTTGGGTCGTCTCATTACAGTTTACGAATGGATAAACAATTTGACTGTTTTTGGGGAGGATCTCAGGTAAATTTCGGATCATGATCCCGTGCTTAATTTGCAGTCACTGACCTCTTAATGTCAGAAATGCATTTCAAGATACGGAGCTTATCTTTGTGGTTACCAACGGGAAGGCTGGTTGGTATAGGAGCTCGGATTGTTTGTGGTCCAGCACAACAGAGATCCGAGGAAAGGTGACGCTCAACGAATATTACGAAGTCCTAGAGAGTTTTTTCATAGAGACCCTTGGCGTGAAAACACATGGTCGGTCGTTCCCAGTCATGGCTCACAGTCTTAATACCTCTCTGGCCATTAACCCAAATGAAATTGATATTCTTCTGCCTTTAGAAACTAATCATACTCCATGTTCTTCAATGCCTCTTTTGACTTGTGTTATTTTGGATTTTACCAGACTGAATAAAGTCTAAAATAGCCGTCGCTGCTTGGATACATGATCCAAAACTATTGAGCTGTTTTATACGCATCCTTCTTCTTTGGACTACTCTTGTGTCATCTTATGTGTGGAAAATGTTCACCGGGGACGTAACGTTGATTGAAACCGACAGGAGCCGATCACCAACAGATGGACTCTTTCGGCTAGCAGCCCAGAATGGGAAGGAGCACGTTGTCAGGCCTCTTTGCCGCGACCGCCGAGCAAGAAATGTTTGCCACTTCCGGAGTGCCATGGAAGCTACATCGAATATCCGGATTCTTTATTTCCTTCAGTGGTAGTTGTTGAGACATGGCGTGGAGCACGGTGTCCGTCGGTCAGCTCGACTTGCCAGAGGATCGTCCCAGTTCGCGGAGTCTAGCATGTCGCCATCGCTTCGCCGGTCAACACGCATGTCACAATCGCGCGTTGACAGATCTTGATAACATGTTACAGTCTAGATGGAGTTTCGATAATTTGAACAGGTTTTGTAGAGGATGTTCCGTAGGTCATCATCATCCCGTTGCAAAATGCTCATATTGAAAAAAATCAGAATGCGATTACTAGGCATTGTTCGAATGAGAATCCAGCTAAACTCCCATATTCTGCGATATAGTTTCTGCAATTAGATACAGGAAAGATCCACGGTGATCCGTTGATGTGTTGTTGTTGTTGATGTTGATGTTGATGTTGATGTTGATGTTGATGTTGATGTTGATGTTGATGTTGATGTTGATGTTGATGTTGATGTTGATGTTGATGTTGATGTTGATGTTGATACACGCAGCACGAAATTGTAGGTCTGATGAGAGAAAGGCTTTGATGTTAAACGTTTCAACGTCGTTTGCTCAACTTGGACTTTCTAACGTGAGAACTTCCGACACACATACTTTGCCTTAGCTTCAATCCCAAAGCTCACCAGTGCTAATTAACAGGAAAACGTTGGTCAATCAACCTAACCCAGATATCAAAACATCAAGTACCAATCCAGACCTGAAATAGTCTTCCTCGGTAGCTGATTGACATGGTATAGATCCATCAATGGCGATCTGCACATTGGACCATATTTATGTGACTGCTCTGAACTTTCGGTAGTTAACGATTATGACCTTGTCAACTGGTCGTTCAACAAATGCAAGGCAACAGGCCATGTACTAATGTACCTCATCGTTTAGAAATAATACCGTTATCACTGTAGGCGGTATGACATCATGAGGAAAGAAAAGTTGCTTTCTGGCTCAAGGTAAATGCACTTTCATTATGTCGAAAGTAATGCTCTATCATCCCCAACAGCCTGATGTAGACGTTCAATTCTATAAAGGGCTTCCCGGGCTCCACTCGCTCATACTAGGCCTCCTTGTTAATCTCTGGAAAGACTATCACTTGGTTGTCAAAGACCACGACAGCAGAACATGAAGATCGACGATAAAGGTATGCACAAAGTACGGTACCACGACGTGATGTGTCAAGCTCATTAGAGTCTAGACTATATTGACCTTCACGAGTTTTGGTCCACCTCATCCGACATCCCAGCAACGCCACCCCTCCCGGCCACTGATTGTGATGATATTTTGCTAGCTTCAAGTGTCGAAGGCCAAAGTATTGACTCTAGTGGCTCGATACCACCTTCAGTGGAGTGTCTTCTTTTTCCGGATCCCGAGAATCTTCAAGCGGGCTTCAAATGGCCTGGCCCAGATCTTCTTTCCCCTACGACTCAATGTGAAGACGTAATGCTCTACATGTCAGTTTTTATTCCTGCCAGGCTACTATATTGGGTGGAGATACGCCTCACGGAGCTAGATCAGAGCACGGGCGAGACAATTCAAGAGCATCTGTTCCATCTGTCCTCGACCAAATATGACAGAGAAGGTCTCTACTGGCTACGCAGACAAATTCTGGACATCATCTCTGGGCCTAGGGATGACCGGCCGAGACTCTTCCGATTGTCTTTACGACCACGCACGAGACTGCCCACATATTTTCCAGACCCGGCATGTCGTTTGCACACAGCGCAACTGTCGGCAACATACCTGAGTCCAGATGTATTTGTACAAAACTTGAAAGATAATTACAGGTGGCCCCTCTGGTAAACAAATAAAACGACTCATTGTCACTGCTGAATATATTTTTGGTCATTTTATGCCCGATCTGAAGGAAGGTGCTTGTTAGGGAAGATTGTTGCACAAGAGGGACCTGCTATACAGCAGTATGGTTGCGTCAATTCAAGCTAACAAAAAGCAAACTCACAGGTGGGGAAGACCGGTAGTAATAGGTCCCTATCTCCGGTTCCCGTTCCTGAGCCAGATCCGGAGAAGATTGGAGACTTTTCATGAATCCCTTTTGCCATCGAGCAACTCACACATATGGTAGATCCGAAGGGCAGACCAGATCTTCTTAGGACAGGCGACGCACCTAGAAGGATGTGACCTAGAAGGATGTGTGATGAATCCTGTCCTCTGTTCTGCGTTCCTGGGGCCAACAGGCCTGCTATTTGCGACGATATACCCTGCTCCTGCAAACAGCATGAAATTCCTGGGACTACTGCCGACTTGAGCAATTGTTAAAGGTGCCAAATCGGCTTGACTCCCTGAGGTCCATGTGCTCCCTTGAACAGCCCAAAGGCAAACACATCACTAGCAACCCTCCGTCTCGCGCGTCATGCTTAGTAAGAAGAATGATAGTCCGTCTAGTAAGTTATTACTCCTTGTAAACAGTGCGTAGGTCATACTGTATGGAGTCAACAAGTTTCCTATCTGGTGAGTTATGCCTAAAATAATGAGCAATGTCCTTATCGAAGAGAACAATTGTTTGCGCGACCAGATTTTGCGTGCTCATTTCGGTTGCCTGTAAATGCGGTACCAAGATAGAAACTGAGCAGATGTTTTGCACGCATGTTGACTCATTGTTAAGCGGATACCAGGAAAGCAGTGGGCGAACGCTTACCGCATCACCTGCAAACCATGAGCCACACCGTCAACGGTGAGTGTCAACTTCCAACCACTGAGTGGGTGAAACGTTCGCTTGTTAATCCTTGCCCTCGTCATAAGACTGTTAGTGTATGATAGAAAGGTGACCGTTGCTCAACATCTGCAATAGGTCTCATGGTTCAGTAAGAAAGCCGGAATATAAATACTGCCACCCTTCTTCAGTCAATTCTCTTCCCAAAACCAACACTTTGATCCACCGACATTCAAGAATGACAACCAATCACGACACCGATACAAGCGAGGATGATAGCCTGGTGGCTCAGGCGAACGAGCAGCTTGAACGCGAGCTGCTACAGAGTCAGAAACCCACTCTCGCTACATACCGAGCGCCCCGACGCGTGGTGTCTCTCGGTATCTCCCCGGCTACGTCAAAGACTGGACGCCAGCAGATGCTTTTCGGGACTTGTATCGAGATTGGTATGTGCCGGCCTCTTGTGCAGGACAAACGCTAATCAACACAGGAAGGATGCCATCATCGAAAGATTCGACCTTGACACCAGAGCTTCCTGCTATTCTTGGAAGACCACGGCGGTCTTCTCTCAATTGTTGTTCCCGAGCCACATCTTGCCGACCAGCGAGGGGAGCGGGAGAACCGACGCGCATTAGGTTTCATTCAGTACGAAAAAAAGACCGGTCGCATCACAATCGCAAATGCATGCATGCAACTACCCATCGATGCTCTAGCGATGGGATTCTCCACCAAAGCTGCCCACAAGCATCTCGTTGGACGTCACGGCGAGGGTCTCAACCTGGCGGCCCTGGATCTCTCTCAAAATCACTACAATGGGTATCACCGCGACTGGTTGCAATTTGAGGTTTGACATGCACGCAGACACCGCTTCGGTATCTTGTACGGCCGCACCCTCTTAGAAAACCAACTCGATCGGGTGGACCGACCCCGCTCTGGACAAGGCAAGCCTACGTTACCATGTGGGGAGAGATGTGGCAGTGTTGATCGGCGCGACGCGGGCCGTCCAGCCGGCCGGTGGCGACAGAAGCGTTTTTGAATTGGCTCCGCTTGGCAACGATCGACATTCGCGGGCTCACCTACTCTTCCAGTATCATTTCCACTGCACATGGCGACTTGATTCTTGATCCCCAGCTTCGAGGTCAGCTGTATCACAATAGGATCACCTTGACCAATTCCACCGTGGGCGGCGCATTCCTCTTCGCGTACAATTTCGCGTATTCGACCACCTGCCGCGACCGTCGCAGACTAGGATCCTGGCGAGATACGGCTCGCCAAGTACAACAAATACGGAGGAAACTCTACGCAAGCAAGAAGACACTATCTTGCCTCTACTAGTCGATCTGTTGCGGAACCATGCCCGTTCTGCCGACGCCGAGATGATAGGCCCTCTTTTAGAGCCATCCGTGGCGCATCAGATCTGGCAATACCTGCTGCGAGAATAAGCAGATAATGAATTCTTTTACAGCGAGAGAAGCAAGGACCAGGTATGTGCACAGGTGTAGACATTTCCGCATTTTGATAACTGATGCAGACAGACCGCGAATACAATCCGGAACAGCCTTAGCAAGCGCTCGGCCCGCCTACGGGACACGCTGTGGCAGATGCTGCGTGCCCACTGCCCCCATCCGAACCGTCGAAGAGGGGCAGCAAAAGCAGTTCAGGGAGGCAAAGCCCTGCAGCGTTCCAGACACCACATTCGCCAGAGCCGTGGATCGATCGCTGCGAGCCTGTTTCGCTCTGCTGAGGTTCACCGACCATCTCCGGGTAGTCTACGTCCGAGGCTCAGCCGACAAAGTCGACGTATACCTTGACAATAGGACAGGGTACGCTTAAGATACATTGCCGGATGGTTGGACTTTGCTTGTATGCACCACCGGTCATTTTGCCGGTCCTAGTCACCAACCAACCTTGCCAAAACAAAGCCCCGGTTTTTTGCTGCCATATGGTGGAAGAGCTCTTGGTTCGATCACTTGCATCCATGTTCAAGGCGCATCCGACGTCTCGAACAGCAGAAGTAAGATTCATGCGGCAGATTAGACGGCGACTGCGGTACCTGCCGCACAGCATCCAGTTGAAGCCATACCCCGGTAGTATTCTAGTCAGTTGGGAAGACAATAAGACGGAATCGGTTCGCAAGCTCGGTCCCGGCGGCCCCGACTACCATATTGTGCTTCATGAGGACAACTATGCGAACTCTGGGACAGCACTTCTCCACGATGAAGCAGGTAAGTGGTCGTAATCATGCGGGGATCAACCGCTGACTCTTTAGTACAGCCCTCCCCAACGACGTAGTGTCCTGTGGCTGCCGCCAGCAATTTGCTCGCCAGACACACCGAATATGCCTCTTCACCGGTTTGTCTCACACATCCACATATTATACCATGATTGCGTTGAACGAAGATCGAGCTTTTTATAGAGTGCCGTCTGATCGAGTATCGCCGGGGTCGTATAAGAAGGTGGAAACCCTCTCTCGATAGACTTTGTGGAAGCGCCTTCGCATCGGGATGCCCTTGGCTATATATTCGGTTCAGAAGCTACAACAGGCGGGCCAAATTCATAGTGCTGGCCAGACGAGCCGACCGACAGACACTGCACCCTTAGGTAGAGAGCACTCGCATATAGCGCGGCGATACTGACTACACCAGACGATTATCTAGACCTTGATTCTGAGGCTACGTAGTATCTGTAGTATCTGTACGTCTCATCACTGGAGCTGTCTCTGCGTCTTCCTGTGTAGGGTAGGTTCTGCTCTTCGTCTCGTCGAGCGAAGCAAAACATCCGGAGCTTCGTTATTTCGGCTACATCGAGTGAGTTCTCATAGTAGAACTTGTCCGACATCATACTTCAGCCATCTTCCACGCGGCTCAGATAACCCAACTCCCGATACTGTTTACGTCGGAAGACCACACTTGCCCGCCTGTTTTCCGATATCTCTTAAAAAAACGAAGCAGGGACAGCCGTGTCTCATCGCTGAGAGACTGCAGTTCTTTTGCATCCCTATCCCAATGTTGAATCCTAACTAGTAATAGTCGAGACGGCAAGTTCCACCATAGAGCGCTATTGATTGGTATCGATACCCTGACCTATCGGACGAATCTATCCGAAGGCTGAGAGGCAGCGGGTATAAACTAACAGTGTTAATCTGTTCTCCGTTTAGGGCGACACAAGCGTATAGGGACAGCTCTATATCGATTGCTAGCTCCGGTTCGCGTAAACTTTAGGGTGCCGCGCTAACGACCTCGTGGTATGCCTATTGTGCTCCCGGCTTCGAAAAGCGGCCTTATAGCACTACTGATCGAGCTAAGCTGTCTGTAACAGTCGGTGCTATCTGAAGTAGAAGCTTCCTCACGATATTATATAATGTCGGTCGTAGCATCAGAAAAACGACAGTCCGTGTGGCGATATTGCTAATAACTTCTTGGTTTTGATGTCTTGGAACTTAATAGAGCGTGCTCCGTGTACACTCCTCGAGTGATCTACAGCGAATTCACGCCGAACCTCGAGGCGTACACGATCAGTATCTATACAAAAACCTAGCTCGTTTGTTCGTTCATTCGTTCGTTCGTTTAGACGTTAGCAATACATACCTTAAGCTACGATAATCCTATGATCACAGCTCCTAATTGTAGGGTCTCTCATAGCTGCACACTTGATATACGGTTGCTATATCAGCGCGTAGGGCCAGGTCGTGATATTCCTAGAATAAGAATAGTGCTATTCACAGATCACTCAACTGCGTCTCTGTATACTTGCGTAGATACCCTCTCGTAATCGCTGGTTAGTCTACAGTGTTGAAGCATTCACGTCAATATTAGGATATTTAAACGGATGTTGAAATAGTGTTGAAGAAAATTAACCCAGCTAGTCATACCTTACCCGTACCTATAGTTCACTTTTCGCCAAGATCCACTAACCCATTATCGAATTTCCATTTCTACAGTGAGTATTTTCAGCCATCCTTCGTAAAAGACTCTATAGCGCGAAAACATAGTTCCCTAGATCGTTAAATACTCCGCGAAGCAACTACACAAAGCCCTTAGCCTCTAATCGAAACGTTCTCTTCTTGCAAACACTCACTATAAACAATCACTGCTACCATCCCATTCCGTCAGTTTTCTTCAGAATAGCAAATCGCGTTAACAAGACCCTAACCCTTCGACTAGGGTATTATGCCGCCAAGCTAGCCAAAGCGCTAGAAGATAAATCCAAAGCAAAAAGCCGCCCTCATCATAAAGATACGGCTAGGTACGAATCTAAGTCAACTAAGTCAACAACAGCAGAGCCTAAAAGCCATAATCGCAGCAAATTTACCCACCAATCCGATCGAGGAACGGAATTGCTCGATTAATCACCAGACAGACTAAACGAATCTACAATATACGCGAACAGACGGTCAGTACATAAGACGAGTCTCTATATATTTCTGTTCCTCAAATCTGATCAATATTGTCCAGACCGTCGGAGCAGGTGAAGCAAGGTCCCTTCATAACTTCATCCGAAAGAGCGAAGCGGATAGAAGGAGGCAGACAGTAGGAAAGGAAGGCTGCTAAGCGACTGCTCAAGCGAGAGCTGGCTAGCGAAATCGAGACCCTGAAGAGCGAGATAGAGGATCTTAAACAAAGGGTCATCGCATTGCAGCCGCTTCTGTGTGAGCGAAGCAGGGGAAAGCGAGTGACTTTCCAAGACGAACTCAGCTAGATAAATTCCGGTCCTCTTAAAGATTTTCGACGCAATAAGAAACTTCATTTTTCTTCTGAAATGTAACAGTAAGCATCTTCGCAACGCATAACCTCCAATAAACCCATTCTTTCACTCATTGCCTGAAGACTGAGGGTGAAAACATGATTGACGGTGGATTGCTAGCGTTTCTATAGCAGTTCCCAATGAATGGCATGCGCACCTCATAAGTCTGGAGTTATTGCTCCCTCAACAGTTCTGGGAATAGCTGACTTGTCACGGTCCATCAGGATAACCTCTCCGCGATATACAACGATAGCTTGAAAATGACTTTGGATGAGAATTGCCGAGCCTTGCACCGCTTGTACTCGCTGTAATTAGAACCTTCTCGCGTTTTCGCCGCTAAATCATCACAAGTTAATGATACTTCAAGCAGGTCTACGACTTGATTTCCATGGGATTCATAGAGCCTCACAATACAAGAGCCGTCCTAAGTAAAACCGAACGCATATTGGACCTAGAAACCGTGCGCACCCAGGGGAATGAAGAAGTCTTAAGGAGAAACGCAAGAATGACATCCGAGTCCGATTGAGCAATACCGGACCGACTGTAGCACCGTACTATTAATGTACTATTAACAACATCCCGGTGCCATTCAATAGACACTGAATGCATCTGGGCCATTGAGGACTCCTATATCGAATTAAGAACGCACACTTGTCCTGAATAAGATAATGCGGGTCTCGGGACAAATCTAGGAGGCACTCTATAGAAACCGAATGAACAGCAGTTCTTTGGTCTAACAAGGGCCATAGGATCAAATTTATTTCCTCTATACCTAGTAGTAGTAGTGTGTATTTAACGGCCGTGGCTCGTGACGAGCACGCTATCCACTATCCCCGATCGGGGCAAAGGCCGCCAGGGGGTGAGCCCTGGGCGTCTCCAACTATTGCTAGTTCTATGTACAATTAAGAGACTTTGGCGCATTCACATAGCTGCCTCAGTCAACAGGAGGGTCTGCAATAGCAGGTTATATAGCAATGCCAGCTGCATGGATCCGTCTCCGCGCCATGATCCGCCAATCCTTCATCTCTCTGCTTTCTATCTTTCCTTCTACGTTTATTCAGCTTTTTTTTTTTTTGTTGTTTTCAGGCATTCTCAAGCAGGGGCCGACTTAGACAGATGTCATCAAAGAATCGGGTTTCTGCTAGCCAGGCAGCCAGTTTGGCTGCACCTTGTGGGGTTCCCAGGAGGAAGGGAATCGTCTCTGAGGGAGGCCCTGAGGGTCGGGGTATGCGTCTCTTAGCTACTCGGCAGAAGAAGAAGTGAACTGGAGACTTCCTGGCTCCACACCGGCAATATAGATGTGCGTCTTCATGATTGAACCGCTCATGGTAGTCTGCAAAATCACCGTGCCCTGTGCGAGCTGCCAGGATCCGCGCGAGAACATGGCGTGGGAGGCGCAGCTCATCCGGGCACCTGGGGGAGGAGGTGATCCAAAGATCCTGGTATGACTTCGGAGCCGCGGCCTGCCAGTGCCTTTGCAGGCCAGAGGTTACAGCAGCCTTGGTGCGACGCTTAAGCGAGGCAAAAGAGTAAATAGGGGAAACAGGGGGTTCTGAGGCAGCTCCCCTTTTTGCAGCTTGGTCGGCTTCTTCATTCCCAGGGACCTTTGCATGTCCGGGGACCCAGCAGATACGTACGGAGCCCTCCTTTGTATAGGAGAACCTCTCTCGCTCGGGCCAGGTCGAGGCCAGGGTTCGGAAGGTCTCAAAAACTTCTTGGGATGACCCCGTAAAGGGTGAGAGCAGGCGGGTGGCTACTTCCAGGTTGTCTAGGCAGACCCAGAGGTCAGTGGCAAAGCGTGCGGTGTACGCCTGTATGGCTGCTTTGATACCAGCAAGAGCTGCTTCAGCTTCGGCATCGAAAACTTCTTTGTTTGGTCCGAGGGAAAAGGATGATTGGTGACAGAGTCTTCCTGTCTGGTATAAAGCAAACCCAGCACCTGCCATACCATCAGGCAGTTTCGACCCGTCTGTGAATACTTTCATATCGTTGCTTGGGAGGGGGAGTCATGTTAATGATTTGTTCGGTGATGTTGGTAGAGTCGATTTTTCTTACTTCCTCTATACCTATTGACAAACAGGGGATGCCATACTATTGGGAAATGCACGTGACCCTAGTTGTTCAGTCCCGGAGCAGAACTTCTGTGCGGATCGATACTTGCAGATCGCCTGGCGTACCATGGATCAGATAACCCGGGGAACTTTTCTGAGCAACAAGTGGGTCTCACCGTTGAAGGTTGATGGTCAACTGTTGCGGTGCGTCCATCGTGAACGTTGAGGACATTCTTGTCGTAAATAAATTGTACTCGACTTTCTGCCCTGCATCTGGTTATATGAGAGACAGAAGACAAAGTGTAGACTTCTAACGTTGGCGCAGAGGGAAAGCGTCGAGCCCCATTCGCCCACAAGTTGTCCAGGCCGGCCTATGTAACACCTGAGTCTCCATCTCGCTCGGCATTTTCAAACGAGTTCCTCATTATTCATCGGCTTGTTGAAGGTGATACACAGTAAACAATGTCAATGCGAAAAGAAATTTTACAAGATACGGATCCAAGGGGGCGACCCGTCTGAATCTCTTCAATCCACGGTTCGGGGTGGAACGCTTCGTGAGATTAGCCACAAACTCTAAAAGCATACTTCAACGGCTATTGAGTCAACGGCATCGACAGCAAAAATGCTGTGACTACAGCAGAATGCATGACTTTTTCCAAGAGATTTGCATACCTAGCAGCTATAGTAGGCGGAGGCGAAAAGGCATAAAAGGAGGCTGCATAACCGGTCTGCAAAATCAGGACTTGGATCCTCATCCTCCACGACAACATAGCCTTGTCTGCTTGCAGGCCTTGCCTTGAAGTCTTGGCTTTTGCTAGTGTGAGCCCAGTGAAGTAAGAATGGCGCTTTTTGCAGGATAAGCTCTGCGACATCAACTGTTCTCCGCAGGATGAGCTCTGCGATACCAACTGTTCTCCGCAGGATAAGCTCTGCGATATCAACTGTTCTCCGCAGGATGAGCTCTGCGATACCAACGGTTCTCCGCAGGATGAGCTCTGCGATATCAACTATTCTCCGCAGGATGAGCTCTGCGATACCAACTGTTCTCCGCAGGATGAGCTCTGCGATAACAAGTGAACTCCGCAGATAGCAACTATGATAACAAAATCCTCGCAGGGGGGCGCTGCGTCACGAATTGAACTCCGCAGGAGAGTGCTGCGATAACAAGTTCTCCCTCGCAGCCATGAGCCCTGCGTTGCTGAAATGTGCTCCGCAGGGACATCTGCGAAATCAAGAGTCTCCGCAGGAGACCGCTGCGACACCAAGTTCTCCCTCACAGCCTTGGGCCCTGTGATTGTATAATCTTAAGCTTCCATGCAGCCCTGAGCCCTGCGTTATCAATTTTGTGCTCGCTTAGGCGACCCGTGGCGCCGCGGTCCTCGTCCTGATCCTCTGGCGACATACAGGCACCTCTTCGCGGTGTCAGAGACTAGTATTCGAGTTACTCGAAGAAGCCAAGACCTACTCCAAAGAATCCATATAAATAAAGAATCTGCTTAAGAGCGTTGTGTGTTATATAGTAGTGCTTGTTCGTAGAGTTCACTATTCGTATTCCTTCTTCGCGTAGGGTATTTATAGCCTTCAAAACACGCCCGGTGCTTCGAGGATGGGCATTCTCTGCCATAGGATGCCATAGGATGCCATATAGAAAGTATATTAGATTATTGGGCGATTATTATCCGGTGCATAATAGCGTAGGCCAATCTAGGTGATGCCTGCAACTCGAGTAGTCTCTATTAGTAGAGGCTTATCCAGAGACTGACTAGCGGTGGCGGCAGGAGTTGTTCGTCTGTGGTGGGTTGCGAGAATTGCGGGCATCGAGGATAGATAGCGCGTGTTGAGGGTAAGGATCGAAGGGGAGGCTTGATACTAATTAGCAGTACAGTATGATATAGTGAGGGCTAGAGGTGAGTGAGTATCGAGGGTGGACACTGGTGATAACCAGGCCAGACCAGTGGGTCCCTTTGTTGATATAGTGCGGCGCAACTCCCGAGCGGTGAAGTCGCTGCCAACGGTAATCACCCATCGCCGCCCTAGTCGTCGTTCTCTCGCATTAAACAAGACAAATAGTGCGAAATCGTAAGAGCTACGAAATCTGTAACGCAATCAATGTAGGTTTCCAATCGAAAAAAATACGTGAAGCTGTGCATTCTCGATAGTACATTCTGCTTTGTCTGCCATCACTTTTCTACGTGGCTCAAAACTATAGTTAGAACCAATTCTGGCAACCGTTCTTCCACAGAACTTCTGTTCTCACCGCGGCGTTGACGCAACGACCGCACCCACAACATCACCGTTCCATTTATGTGATATTACTAATATTCAATGTTCAAGATACGTGATCCCCGCATCATCCTTGCCTCTGCCACCAGACCAGATAATCAACGACTCGCAAGGAACGGACTTACTAAATACATCGCGAGTCACGAATCTGCCCATACGGGCGCGTAGGTATCAAAATGCGGTCGCACTTCCTCCCATAATTGAGGCATAAAAGAACGTTTACTCAGACCGAGGTATCCATTATTTTTCTCAAGGCAACTCGACAAATCCTAAGTCTTTTCCGATTGTTGCCTTATTTGCATGTCATTGGTGGTGTGCTGGTAGTGGTTTTTCCTTGCCAGACGATAGGAACATTTATAGCGCCGGACGGGCAAAATATATAATGATCAATCGCTACTTTAAAACAAGTCACGGCACATAGAATAATCGCAAGTGGAATATTATTTAGCAAAGCCATCCCGTATATCAAATTTGCTTATTAGAGCTACTTTCTATTCCTTATTGGAGCAACTTTCTATCCGGATTAAGAGCCGAGAAGGGCCCAAAAATATCTGAAGCTGCGGAAAACTCAGGGAAGTCATGTTTTAATAATGAATAACCTTGTATTGCCAAGAAATACATAGAGACTATTGTGGCTTACTTTTTAGCCTAGTAGTAATTCGGTAGCTGCGTTCCCGAGGCTAGGTGTTCGAATCCTTCGGGCACCGTTCTTTCTAAACGCTGTCCAAAACTCAGTCTGTTAGCTTTCGCCTGTGCTATTACTCATATCAGCATAAACAAAGTTCGCCTAAGGGAGGTACACGTCGCGGGTGGAGCGCGTTGTCTCTACAACTTTCCCGCCTTTTCTTTAACTCTCTTTTGTGGTCACCGCGCTCTTTGAGCTAGTTCTAATTTATATATCGGACGAGCCTGCGTTTCCTTCCGTGACTGGCCACGCATCGGACGTTAGCCGTCCACAAAAACAAGGATCGTAGGCTAAGCTAGTCCGATCTAGAGTAGCCACGTAGCGATTGCGGCCTCCCGGTCTACCATACGTTGCATAATAGGCTTTAAGGTTGTCGCCATAGGTGAAGCGGCGCTGGCACTCCGGAACCTAGCAGATATATAACCTTTCAGCCAGGTAGCTAGATAGATGACGCTGTAGGCCTTTGAGATATCGAAAGCGACTACTGCACCTTGCAACGGTGCATTTGAATTGCCGCCAGGGGAACGGCCGTGGTATGCTGCCGCGGGTGTGGCTAGAGTGCTCGCGGTCGCCGCAGACGAGGCGTGTGAACTCCTCAAAGTTTAGCCAGGACGTCTTCCTCCAACCGCCATTAGGTGTTTCGGCAGGCGTATTTTCAGTTATCATCGACTTAGTTATACTGTATAGTTCGACAGTAGGATTCCTCGCGATGAACTCGACCTCAGACTCGAGGTCAGACCCATATTGAAACCAGTCTATACTATAAGCTTGATCTTGCTAGACAGGCCCATAAGAAGAAGATTCCATGTTAGACTAGAAAGTGTCTTGAACATAACGCCGGTCTACTAGATATTACCTATAATCGGCTTAGAAGCCAGGCCATTGACAGCAGGAGCCTTTCAGACTGCAGGAAATGTTCCAGTCTGCGTAGGTTGTTTAGTGATGTGCTTGAACCAACCGCTCTGTACAGACTCGACCGTGATAACTTACTATTATCGCTGTTTCCCCCACTATCCATCGACGAGGATGTGTCATCAAGTTATAGGTGCATTTAGCAGATAGGAAGATAGATAAACCTGCACATAAACAAACGCAGAGGCCCCGAGCAGGTTGGGCGATATATATAAAGGCAAGCCAGTAAGATAAGGTACTGAACGTAGCTAGGAAGGCTCCAGATTAGAGAACGCTGTACTGTGTAGATATTCCAAGTAATCCGCTTTCTCAGAGGCTTGAACCAGGAAAAAGTTGGTCCAACAAGCCGTATTCTATCTGCATAATCTAACAGGGAAGGTGGTTTCACTGGGGATTTGGTCCGTTGATTCAACGTTGGCAAACCGCAATCACCGTTTTCGAGTTGCCCATCTTGGTTCACTGGAATGCACACTGGAAAAGATATAACTTTTGCAGCATCATGAATCATCGCCAGCGCCATCCTAGATCACACACGATACACAAGATTCAGTATAGACACCTCCGATATCAATCCTGCCGAAGAGCTGCCCGAGATCCAGCCCGCAGGTGGTCATCCTCCAGCCGGCGAACCTATCCTTCACATAGAACAGCATCCGCAGATTGAAGTCGATCTACCATCCGGCCCAGTAATCGTGAGTAGGACCAGCACAAGTATATATAAGGATTAGCTGACTCGTGACCAACAGCCCGATGACACAGAGAGGCCGTCCTTGAGGGACCAGCCATTTGCACCTGCGATGGAGGCTCTCGTACGGCTGGAACATGAGGACCCGAAGCTTGCTTTCCAAGCGGCAAGAATCGTGGGATTGTATCGGCGCCTGTGGGAGTCATGCATGGCAAAGCATATGGAGGGGAAGAAGTTGGCCAAAGCAAATGACGGCCTGAAGGAGACTCAACAGAAGCTGGTGAACGAGAAGAACAAAATGCAATCAAGCCATGATGACCAGCTGGCTCGGTTGCATTTCTTTGATCAGGCGCTGGAGTCATCTCGACTCAGTTTGACGGAAATACTCAAGGAATGGAATCGTTATTCTGATGGTCTCGAGTCAAAGCTTAGTGAATAAAGAAGTGCTAGCAAGCCGATGGCGGTAGTCCAATTACTATTAGATGGTTGGAGGTATTGGTGGAAATTGATGAGATGATCGTGTTTCAAGGGGTTTTGAGCATTCTTGCTTTTCTTCCATGCAAGGCATCAATTTGTGCTCCGTCGACAAGCGCAGAACAAATGAGCCATCCTTATTATTGCTAATAAGACTAAAGAAGATATCAACTATGTGACAGCTACGGAGTACTTGGAGATAGGCCAATCAATGCAACGGAATCAAAAGGGGAGAAATTGAGTATATGATTGATTGATTGAAGAACATAAAATGAGGGCGCTCATGGGGGTTGAAATACCCATGAACTTACAGTGTAACGGAGGTCCACGCATGTTGAATATCCTGGTGCCTAATGACAACATAAATGACTGAGATTCGCCATATAAAAGTGTTGCACCATCTAGAAAACAATTGACGTGATGTTCATCCTTGTTTTGGTACGAGTAGCAACCCATTGGGGTTGACAATCACCATCCGTCGCACGATCACCGCATTGACCCTCAAGACCCAATGTACAACGAGTTGTAACCTCACCACGCTATTAACAATCAGATCGTCAAGAAGCATCCACTTAAGATCATAGGTTGTATTCCTGTCTCCGTCGTGCAGTAGGATTGCCGCTGATCATACGGCGACGTCATATTTTACTCCCCGGGCCACTATCGATAAAGCTGATTCCCTATCCAGCTATCTAGGCTGGGATATATTTAGGGACTATGAGCAACATTAGCAAACGATGTATCCTGATTGATGCGGGAAAGCTCAACCCTCAGAAAGTGCATGGTCGCCGCATTCGCCCCCCACGACCCACGGCTCTCCCGCCGCGGATAAACGCCGCAAAATCCTTCCACCAAGAGGATTCGGTTCTCCTTTAAGTGTACCAAACCGCGCAAAACTTCCGCCGAATGACATACTTGATTAAGGAATTCTTACGTCGGTGCCAGTTCACAATAAGCTAGGTAGTTTCGCCAAGACTGAGAAAAACTTTCAGCCAGGGGTTGGTGGTGCGTGCCGTCTGGTTGCCCCTATAATTTGTCTCGGTCTTTCAATCAAAACTTTTGATGATTCCTGGGAATTCATTTTGCCAATCTGACGACTCTCCCAATAAAATTATGGTGTTTATGGTTAGTCGAATAGTTTCATGGTCCGTGGGCTGTTAGCCAGTCGCTAGCATCATCATAACTTCATAATTCTCATTGCACCAAGCAAATAGGAGATACTAGTGGAGGGCCACTAATTCTCCAGGAAGATGACCAGGCGAGTGGTATCAGCGCACCTATAGGTCTCCCCTTTATGTGGTGCATGTGGTTCATCTACGAAGAACTGTGGTTCCAAAGGTTTCTCGGAGGCGAATATAGTTAAGCTCCGATGCTTCCAGTACAACATATAAGAGAGGTCGGGGATTTAATAAAGATAAATCCCCTTCCCCCGCCACCTAGCCCCTAGAACTGAAAGATTTTATGACCGCCAGCCTAAAGGCAGAGAAAAAATATGCAGCATGTTACGCACAACCTTTTTCAGGGACCAGGGCAGGTCGACGAATCAAACACATTTCTTAATCCAGATTATCTAAGCTCCTATAGCTTCGATAGCAGCATGACTTATGCCAACGGAGGTCCTTTTTATAACGAGCTGCAAATTCGTGGGCCTGGATCCGGAAACTTTTTGGGTAACGACGTTCTTCCTTTCTTTGGAAACAATGTTAGTTTCACTTATTATCTATTTTTGTGGAGTTTCGAGCTAAGACAATATCAAGGACGTAACATACGATAAAGGTGAAGTTATGCCAGATCACCCTTGGCTTTCTGCACCTGAACTACCGAAAAATGAAGCACCGCAGTGGTCTGAAGGTGCCATGACTAGGAGCAGCAGTGTGGAAATATCCCGAGAGCAACGCAATCGGCATACGGAGCCCGATTTAGACGTCAATTGCAAACTATTGACACCAAGACAAAATCTTACACACAGTCAGAGCGAAAGACGGTACCGTCGAAATCTCGATGTTAATTTCTTGCAGCTGGAAGACGCAGTGAATCAGTGCCACGACGAGAGACCTAAATCTGAGTCTGGGTCATCCAAAAGGTTACGGAGAGTGCAAGTACTAGCCATGGCTCGTTTGAATATTCTGGAACTTCTAAAAGAAGTCATTTCTTTGAAGAGGAAGCTTCGGATTCTACGTGAGGCTACTGTGCCTGAAACGTGCAGATTCACGATTCAAGACGAGGTTGTCGGAGTTTAGGATTTCTAATTTGCATGATCTGTTCTGTCAAATGTGTTCGTAGTGTAGTGCCGTGAGATTAATGATCTTGCGCTTCAACGTTTTTGCTCCATGATAGACCATGGCTTCAGACAATCTTAGTTTCGTACGCCGTACGCTAATAAATCCTGGTCTCCGTCGGTCCAGTGGCGCCGGTAATGGGAAATTCCATGCTGGACCAGACATTGCCTAGGAAGCCGATCCAATATACTACAACTCAGCTATTTCTTATGATTGGCGTACGTAAGCTACTACCCCTAAATTTTGCTAGGATACTGCCATCCTGGGCTCCGCTAGGCTTTCTCTAGTTACAAATCCCTCAAATTTTGCCTAGGACAAACTCACCGCAACGAGGTCGTATGTTCTACGTTGTTCAACGTAGCATTCTGGTATTACCGTTTGCTATTTTTGTCTGGTATCAGCGCGAACGAGCGATTTACATTTTGAGGCTAAGGGCTGTTGAAAGCCATTTCGACGCCAAAAGCTCGAGTGCGAAGTACGAGAGTAGCTCGGTCGCGTCAGAACCAGTATTCGATTTGTATGAAGCCTTAGATGGAAATATCAGCATAGCCGCCAAAGAAGCTTCATAACATGCTGCTCAGCTAGGCATCTAGGAATGCTCGCTCGTTATATACCGCTTAAGGCTTCCTGCCTCGCGCCCTTCCGTGGATGTTTCTTCTCGTATCCCTATCACGATTTTGGCGAGAATTTCCCTTTAGTCTCAGAACCATGTCTTTTCCATGCCCGGGGCCGAATTTAACAAATCAAAAATCTGGAGGACTAAGCGACATTTGGTGAAGGGTGGCAGTCTCTCTTGCTCTGGAGGTCTAGATCTTTCTGTAGTGTGACAGCTTCACAATTAATCGTGACTTCACTCTTACGTCACATTTGAAGCCCCTATTTGATTTATCGAGTGTCTTTTCGTTTCTCCGGTGACTTAAGTTCAACAGCGAGAACATGACAACCTAGGGTACTCGCACAAAGTGGTTCACTAGCGAGCTCACAGTGGCTATGCAAAACATTTCGGAACACCGAGGGCTCCATTTTGCCGACCGCCTATCGTAGATTTAGTCGAGCTGAGTAAGTGGATTACTTCACAACAGTGTAGCATCATTTACGACTTATCCCATCCTCTATCCGCTCCTTGCAGATTAGGCGTTGCTAAATCATCCAGACCTTTTGTTTCGTGACCGCCATGCAAGGCGTTCAACCCCAACATAAGGGCAGCAATAGGCATACTGAGGCCTGGATACTAGGAACTGGAATTTCCTCCTTGGCCTCCGCATTCTACCTCATCACAAAAACCGATATTCGCCCGTGCAATATACATGTTCTGGACCAGCACCCCTCTCTAGAACAGGCGACACATAACAATGGCGACTCGTCCAATGGATATGACCAATTTGCAGCTTGTTTACCTGTACCAGTCGGCTCACCAATGAGTGAGCTCCTCTCTGCAATCCCTTCTGGTCAGGGAGAAGGGCAGTCCCTGTTAGACGACATCCACGTGATGGAAGCAAATCGACTTGCTACAAAAGGAAACGACCGAACTCATTTTCTCGAATGCGAGAATGGATCGATGCACCGTATACCTGTCGAGTCCTTAAACTTGGGCTATAGGCACCGCGTAAATTTAGCACGCTTTCTACTGCGAAAAGAAAAGTCTCTTGCGAAGAAGCAGATCCGAGACTTGTTCCCAACCGGCTTTTTTGAGACTGCTTTTTGGGCAGTTTGGTCCGCCCAGTGAGTATCGAACGAGCGGAAGTACTTTTCCCATCGATTGACATCCACTTCTTTACTAGGTTCAGCTTCCAGCCGTGGCATTGCGCTGCGGAGTTCAGGCGTGCTATTCGGCAATACATCTTGGGTTTTCGGAGCTTAAGTATCTTAAGCTGCCTAGATATTACCGGTTATTATCAGTACGAGGCTATTTACATACCAATATATTCTTTCCTTCGACGTTATGGCGTGGATGTCCAGTTTGGGACTTTCGTGAAGGATATTGAAATGGTTGGAGACAATGATCAACAAACAGTCACCGGATTACGCCTGATTCATGACGGGCGCGAAACATATCAAACTATCAGAAGCCAAGATATGGTTATTGCGAATCTAGGATCGACTGTGTCAGGGTCAGCCACAGGGACAAATGATATTGCTCCCTTCTGGGACTCGATTGAGCTTGATGAGGCATTGAACCAAAATTGGTCGATATGGTTGGATCTCGAAAACAAAAATCACAGCTTCGGCAACCCTTACAGTTTTTGCATGCGTCAGTCCGAGTCAATGTTAGAGTCATTTACCATTACTACGAGAGATACCGAATTCTTCAATATGCTCAGCCAGCGTTCAGAGTGCAATTCTAACTCTGGGGCCTTCATATTTGTAAAAGGCAGCAGTTGGAGGTTGAATATCTGCATTCCAAGTCAGCCGGTTTTCCCGAGCCAGCCCCGAGATGTCCGCGTTCTCTGGGGCTTCGCACACTCTCCTGACTGCAAAGGAGACTATGTGAATAAGACAATGCTTCAAAGTTCGGGCGCAGAACTAATGAGGGAATTGCTTGGACATCTGAAAGTTCATCCACAACTGCCAATGTCACTCACTGTCACCATACCACGTGCAATGCCTAGGATGAGTGCCTTACTGCTCACCAGAGGCTTCAATGATCGACCCGATACAATACCAAAAGGGGTGTCCAACATGGGTCTTGTCGGAAATTTTGTGGAGATCCCACGGCGCACCTGTGTGGATGTCAGTTATGGCATATATTCGGCACGAATAGCTATTGCTCGTCTCACAGGCTTACCGCTACCTCCTATCACTTCGTCTACGTCAACGGTCTCCGCCATCCTAAAACTCTTGTTTTGGAGATGATGAAATAATATGCGATAGCTGAACTGGAAACCCAAGATGAAAAAGCGTTGAACAAAGGAGTTGACTGGTCCAGAATTACTGGTTCCTATAATTATTTCATGATTCGCTGTTTCTTTACGAGACGTTTTTCTAGCTTTGAAGGCACGTGGGGACGTTTCTGGTGCAAATGCGTGAAAACTATAGAGACTTCCTCTATCTTATCGAATGTGTACGGTGAAGTCTCAAATTGGCATCTGTCTGTTTGCTTAGGGTCTACCATCCCTCGACCAGCTTTCCCGCCAACCTTGTACCGGCCCTAGACAAGGTTGCTAAAGCCGACCTACGTGACGGCCCGAAGTACCTTTCAAAATGGCCTCACAGAGTATCGCTCCGGTATACTTTGTTCTGTTGTAGTTCAAAAGGAAGCTTCATTGTTCTTCTTGAGGGAAAATATCAGGGTATATATACAACGCAAAGTCCAAGTTGATTGGAAATCAACTTGGTTCTTCTTATACATAGAGCAGGAATTATTTCCGATGTTGCGGCTTCATTCCTGAGCAGCCACAGCCCAAATCACAACATTCCCTCTCAGGATCGCCTTGCTAGCGGGGCGATACTGAACATATGCACATCGGACAGGCCTCGGTAAAACCACTCAAACCTTCGAAGAGGAGAAATAGTGGAAAGAGCGCCATCGCAGTTACACATTTTCCTTTATGTGTTCTTCAGTACCAATTCCTAAGAGCTTGCAAAACTTGATGAATGGAGAGGGTCCTAGAGGCTTGGTGAGTCTATTAGCTGCCTGTTCCTCGCTTGGAATGTATTCGAGATTGATCTCTCCGGAATTCAGAACAGCACGCCGATAGTGGAATTTCACGTTGAAATGCTTCGTCCGTTTGTGAAACTCAGGGTTGCGAGAGAGAGCAATGGCAGATTGGTTGTCAGCTATGATGTTAGTCACCGGTGATCGAAATAGGTGGGTTTCCGCTAGAAATATGCGTAGCTATTACAGGTGAAGGATAGTATTGTATGGCCAATGTACTCGGCGTGAGTCGTGGACGTCGCCACTTCCCCCTATCTTTTGGATGACCAGGAAACTGGTGCTCCCGCAAGTTTGAAAATATAGCTAGACGTGGAGTATGCACTATCAGTGACTACGGAGCCTCCAAAGTCAGCATCGGTGTATCCGATTAACTGCCCGCTGCGGTATGTGATGCGATAGAATCGCGTGGCCTTGATATAGCGTAGCGGTCTCTGCAGTGTAGCCTGATGATGTGACTGCGGTCGGGATGTGAAGCGACTCAACGTCCTAAGCGCAAACGCGATGTTAGGGCGCGTACCGACTATAAGATACGTTAGTGACCCGATTGCGGTCCCGAACCGGGCCTTCGTATCTTCATCCAGGTCGCTCCCGTCGGGAACGCTGTTCAAAAGAGCTTTTGGAGCCATCGGTGTAGACTTCGGTTGATAGCTCTCTATGCAAAAGTCGGAAAGGACCTTTTGGATGTATTTGTGTTAGTGAATCGAAATCGATCCGTCTATATAGAAGTCGAATTGAATTCCAAGGAATAAACCTAGCGTTCCCAGATCGTTTAGTTTGAACTCCGATTCCAAGGCCCTTCGAAGTTGCTGGATCTCGGCGTCGTCTGCGGCTGCGACCAGAAAGTCATCGACATACACGCAGACGACACAGTTAAGCTTATAGAAAACACAATTGTCGGACTGGACCATAGTAAAGCCGTGAGTCACTAGGACACGGTGGACGCATTGGTACTAAATCCGTGGTGCCTGCTTTAGTCCGTACAAGGAGCGTCGAAGGCGGCAAACGTATCCGTCTTCCTCAAAGCCCTCTGGCAGCTCTACATAGATTGACGAGTCGATATCACTGTAGAGGAAAGTAGTGACGGCATCGAATTGGTGGAGTTTCTATCCACGCAGCACGGCACTCGCAACAATGCTGCGGACCGAGTCTATTCGGGACACAGCCGCGAAGGTTTCGTGATAGTCGATGCTATATTTCTGTCGGTAGCCTTTGATGACCAGTCGCGCTTTCCGAATTCTATTTACCTTCGTCTTAAATACCTACTTGCAGCCAATAATCCGATCCCTAGGGGGAACTTAATTTCGTGGAACCTTCTCCCATATACCATGCTCGAGAAGCGAAGAGTATTCTTTCTAGATCGCGGCCTACCATTCCAGCTGATTAGGTCCCGACACGGCTTCGTGGAAGGTCAGGGGATTAACATCTTTCGTGGCGGTTGTATTCAATGTCCCTATCGTATACACCTTACCTAGCGACTCCAAGAGACGCCTGGAAGGTCTTCGTCTTCGGCCATACAATGAATAGCTAAGGTCCCGTGGGGCTTATGTTTCGCTAGGGATTGGATTGACCGGTGAAGGGATATCGACCGGTTAAGAAGGCATATTGTCGACTGGATTAGGAGGCACGTTCTCTGGTCCGTCTAGGGACGGAGGCGGCGTAAGTTGCGTGCTAGATGGAGGCAGTATTGGTTCAGGGAAGATAGGTGATGGAGGAGCGTTGTCCGGGAGGTCGTTGCCTGTTTCCCCCTCGATAAACGGCGCCACAGGGGTCCTTTCATCGAACTCGATATCATAGGAAAAGACTGTCCTTCCAGAGTGTACCTCGTACAGTTTGTACTGATTAGGTTCGTAGTAACTGAGTAGTCGGTACTCCGACGATTGTGGTCCGAGTTTCGCCCGATACTCTTTGGGGATCAATACCTATGCGCGGGAGCCGATCCGTCGCAGGTATAGTAGCTTAGGTGGCTTCCCGTAGATGACTTCGTATAGTGTCTTCTTATGCAGGACTGATGCTGGCGCCCGCAGCTTTAGATAGACTACTGTGTCTAAGAGCTCGGTCTACTAGGAAGGAGGAAGCTTCGTATCGGACAGGAGCGTGTTGATCCGCTCCCGGATAGTGCGGTTCGTGCGCTCGGCCAACCTATTCTGCCCTTTGCAATATAGCGGCGAGGTATCAAACTCAACTCCCTGGTATTCGAGGTGTGTTCCGATAGGCAAGTATTCTCTTCTACTGTCGGTGAGGAACTGTTCAATCTGAGCGCCGAACTGTCGGTGCACCCAGGCCTCAAATTATCGAAACTTCTGCAGCGCTTTATGTTTCTATCTTATAGTATAGGCCCACGAGCCGCGCGAATAATCGTTAGTAAAGGTAATCACGTACCTAGAGTCATCTTTGGCGACGGGCATTTCTATAATATCTGAATAGATCATTTCGAAGATTCGCGACGAGTGCAGACGTGGCCGTCTTGCACGGGAGTTTCTCTTCTAATACTGCTTACCCGATATACACGCCGGACACTACGGCGTTGCTAGCAGCTCGCTCTGCGTTAGCGGTCGGTACGGAGTGCCGGTCTAACGGAGGACTACCCTTAAGTTACCCCGGTTCAGATGTCCCATCCGAGCGTGCCACAGCGCTTCGGTGGCCTAATCTACTCCTGTGCTCGTATCTTCTTCGAGTATCTGAGCTTCACTACTAAGTTCAGAGGTGGCCGCCGCGCCTTACGCACCACTTAAATCTAGAGGGTCGTCGACGTCTATATCCACCGCCTGCGGTTCTAGGGAATCTGTATAGATACGGTTCGTCGGCGCCCTCGCTAGTTAGACTCGTTCTCGGGATCTTGGGCTTATATAGCACCGCAGGATCAACAGATCCTCCTCCGTATAGTAGGCGGTCCCTACGGTCTGTCCTCGGCGTTGCACAAAGACGTTCTGTAGGTGCGCCACCACCGAGTAGCAGTTACGTAGCAGTTTCGGCACGCTGATTAGGTTCATTCCGATGCGTAGCGCAAAATACACGTTCTTCAACACCAGGGGGTGGTTGAACTTCCCCCGGAGCGTGAGCTTCACTATACCAATCCCTTCGGCTTCCACTGGATCGCCCGCCGTGTCCAGCATCTCGCAGTGGGGCCGTAGGTTAATAAAGCAGCTCCGGTCCCAGCAGATATGGCTAGTGGCGGCCGAGTCCAGGATCCACCGCGGGGACGGTGCGTGGGTATAAAGGGTCGTCACCCTCGCCCTCACGATATTAATCCGCGGTCTCTTGGAAGTCGGCGGGCCCTGCCGTTCTTCCACCTGGTTTAATGGTATAGTTTGCAAATTGTTTCTTAGTGAGCCGGAAGCACTCCGTTCAGCCTTCAGGGCATGGCCCCTGGGCTGTTGCTGTTCTTGCTGTTCTCGCTGTTTCTTCCAGCACTGCGCGACCACATGGCCTCGCTTCTTGCAGTAGTTGCATTTCTTTGCGGCCTTCTGCACCGTATTGATAGAGGTGCTGCTTGATGACCCTATGGCTCCGTGCGGAACCGTGGCAGCATCCTTGCGCTGCACCGTCTGCTCGGCATTGGCGAGACGGTTTCCAATGGTCGTTGGGTTAACCGGGTCCTTGTCGTTTTGGATGGCATCCACGACAAGAATATATTCTGGTCCGATCTGCGTCAGCAGGATGGCGATATGTGCTCGATCGCCGATCGATCCTGGCGCAATGGCATTCAGGCGGTGTACCAGCAGCCGCACTCGATCGACAAACTCGCGGGTGCTGGCGCACCGGGCGGCTGTGGTCTCACGAAGCTGGGCGAACAGCTCGCAGAACATGGCCAGCTCCATGCGCCGGTACCGTTCTTCCAGTTCATTCCACAGGTCGCGGGACGTCTCGAGTCCCGCGACGTGCACACTGATGTGCGGAGACAGGTACCGGAAAATAGTGTGGTAGGCCTCAGCCTCACGACGCGACCATTCACGGTGGCGCTCGAAGGCTTGGACCTCCACTTCGAGGCGGGCTTCGATGGCTCGCTGCCTCACCGCCCCGTTCAGGTGGGGTTCCACCAAGGGGATGATGTCCACGGTGATAGGCTTGGCATATTTGAATTGGCAGTCGGGGCGCTGAAGGTCGCCCGACACCACGTCCCAGACTTGCCTGGCTTTCAGGTAGGAAGTCATGAGACGCTTCCAGGTAGCGTAATTGTCGCTTCCTGTCAAAGGCTCGA